GGTTGAAAAAGATGTGGTACTTTTATATAATGGAGTACTACTCAGCTATAAAGAATGATAAACTTGAAACCTTCATATTTAAGTGGATGCCCCTTGAAGATATACTTATTAGTGAAAAAAACCAGACCCACATCTGTAAATATCGTATTATCTCCCTAATATAAGGACTTACAATTCCGTATATGATTAGGTTTCTAAATTTCTTTATAAAAATATGTAAATGATTATTTCTACTTTTATATAATTATTCTTCCTTCATATTCTGTAAGGACTTAAAGTTCAACATATCAATATCTGATGGAAAATACCTGTTCCATGATATGCCAAAATATTTGATATTTAGACAGATAGAGTAAACTGAATTGCACATACTGCAGGTTATGTGCAGTATGAAGCTAATAATTAGCTTCTCTTCTGGAGGGTTAACAACCTAAGTTAGCAGATCAAAACTGGAGAAAAGGAAGGGATGCAAGATCAGCCAACATTTTGGCCCTAGCCTTTCAAGATCAGTGAAGACTTGGGACATAAGGGAACCTGTACTGTAACAACATGTAACTCAGTTGTACTCCAAATTTTCTGATCAAGAAGATTATGGAAAAACAGAGGAATATATTCGATGATGTAAAGTGAGCCTGGGGAGAGTCACATGGAGAGAAAAACCATTTTTTCAAGCTTTCATAGAGAGCAAATTGGTAAAGCAATGGCCGCGACTCATCCTCATGTCAGACACTGACAAAAGGATGTACAAAGGGCGGTACATGGGTACAGGATATATCCTGAGAGTACTTGGCTGACCTTATCAGATACAAAAGTTACATTTCTTGTCATATAGGTCTTGCTATATTTTGGTCTTAACCATCCAGCAGAAAAGTATAAAAATGAGGTATATAAAGTAAATCCATATTAAGATGATGAGCTGTAAAAGGCTCAAGTCAATAACCTCTGAGGAAAACCCACTAATATTATAGACTGCTAGACAGTGTTAGATTGTTTAGTTGAATTCAAACACCTATAGTATTTAGAAGCCAATAGAATATTCACTTCTGACAGGACAAAAAAAGGACACAAAGGAAAGATCATTTTGTATTTATACATACAAAATAGTTAGGATAAATTTACAGCTACTTTCGCTTAATTCAATGAGAAGAAAGAGGTGTACTAACAGTTTTTGGACAGAATATCCTGTCTGCTTCTTGTACTGTGGATAACCATTAAGAAGATAACAATGTACAGTGTATTGATTATCAAAACTGTCCTATTAATCAGCTGTGAAACTGTCTCCTTCATATTTATTTCTCAATAAAAATAAATTAAATTTAAGTTTAAAAAAAGCTGCAGGCCGGGGGTAGGTTCTTAATAAATAAGAGGAAGGATAACAATAAAGAGAAAAAAGACTATAAATAGATGACCTGTTGATAAAGCTTCTCCCAGGAGTCTTGAGTCATAAGCCGGAACATGGCAAGAAAAGACCAGCCAAAGTTATCAAAACTTGTGTAATTAAAGTCAGGATTAACACCAGTGGGTTTGCAAGTATAATTTTGAGGACACCTAGATGTTGGAAACAAAGGAACAGAAAAGAATTACATTGCCCAAAGCCCAGCTATCCTTTCTGTACCCCACCCCACCCCACCCATCATAATATTAGCAGATGCCTTGGGCTCTATCAGGAAACCCTGGTGAAAGGCAGTGCTCAAAGTGGCTCTCCAACAAGGGGCTGCCAAACCTCCCAGACTTCTTCTTGTTGTGGACACTAGTTGACTCTTCTAATATAATAAATTCCTATGAACAAATATTTCATTTAAAAAACTAAGTGTAATGACACAGTGAAAAAGAGTAAATAAGAGCACACAATGAATTCAGTCTGCATCTCTTCCCAGACCTTCACTTCCTTGAAACAAGAGTGAATAGTTCCTTTGATTCATTGCTTTCAGCTGTGTGATTTCCAATTTGTTCTGTGTTAGTGTCCTCTGTCCTTGTTACGGGTGGGCTTGGGTTCTGAGGTTGCATTTTGTTCCTTCTCGTCATTTTGTG